TGTCACCCTTCTGATTGAGACATGACAAGAACCACCCCGATGCCACAGGACAGATCAGTGGTGACTGGATGACAATAATGCTGATGAATTTTTTAATTACTGAATTGGGAAATCAATGTCAGCCTTGACAGAGTATCTCAGATGTGTTTTAGAAGTAAACCATTTGAACCGACATCAAGGCCAATAAAACCTCTAAAGAGGATAAAAATGTTAATGCATCACACTGGCTGTGTGCTCTCTGCTGTCACACTGAGATGCAAAACTTCCCTAAATAACAGAGAATTGCAGCAGGATTGATTAACAAGTTTCAGAGATTGATTATGCGACTGATGAGCACTGGAACAGAGGCACATAAGGATCCTCTGGCTAGGAAACAGGAGATGTCCTAATTTTACCAAGAGCTTGACAAAGAAATGTAAGAAGTGACACCTAGGAACATGAATTTTTATTTATTTATTTATTTATTTTGATTGAAGCTACATAAATGTATGACTTATGTAAACAAAAATAACAAACAAGTTACATTAAACTCAAGCTCATTTGATAAAATTGAGATCAGTCCACCTCTCTTAACCTCTCTGGACTTAAAGGTAGTTTGAGAGTGAGCTGGTGCAAAGAAATAAACACTTCATTTTCAACAAGTCTTCCAGCAAGCTYGTGCAATCACTGAAAGAGTCTATTTTTAACACATCACCAGAGATCCCTGGTCCCTTCCCTCCTCCCAAAAATGTATCAAATTCAACAGAAACTTTTTTTTGACAGAAAACCTTCTCAGTGCTTCTTTTTCAATTTGTACCTGAAATTGTGTTATTTTTGCATTTCAATCATGCAACAATTTCTGCCACTGCAATATTTGGACCACAGACTCTATTTTTCCACATCGTTGTATCAGTCAGGGAATAAAAGTTGAGGACAGAACCTCAAAAGATAGTTTCAGGTCATTTAGACTGGATAATGAACATTTAATACCTTACCTGTTGTAGACAGATCCTTAAATTACCCCAATTTTGGGGGAAAAAATGACAATCGAACAACTAGAGGACATGGTGGAATGCTGGCATCTTAAATTACCTGTAGTTTAAAAAATTCATAGTGATTTAGGCAAGCACCATTTTATAAACATACACTTTTGTTAAGTTCACAATTATTTCAACAGAATTATTCTGATATTCCTGCAGGAATATCAATAAAAAAAWAATAATAATCACATTTTGTTGATAAGGTGTAATGTGAAACTGATGGTAGTTTAAAGGTTTTAAAAAATAATAGTTTTCACATGAGCCTCTATAAAAACCTTTTGAGATTGACGTTTAATTTAGGATAGTAACAATCCATTTCCCTGGTGCCTTACTTGGACAAGCCATTGGCTTATTAGTCTTATGTCAAAGTAAACTCTTTTTTCCCCTCAAAACTGAGTCAATTCAAAAAGCTGTCAACAAATAAGATTGTGTAGAACCTTTGTACAACCCAGTCCTTGAAAAGATTTGACCTGATGCTTTAAGCTTTTAGAAATGTTTACATTTGCACCAGTATCCTGGTTGTTTATTTCACATGAAAACATTTTATTCTGTTTTCTGACACAACTTTAAACTTTCAGAGGCACAAAAGGATTTGTATATTTTGGAATTTGGACACCATATTTCAGTTTTTAAGGTATTTTTTCAGACATAATGACAACAATCATGCACAGCTTAAGTATTTCTGGAAATCTGGTTTGTATAAATGGACATGTCTATAGAAATATAAATAAATGAATAWATTTCTCATGTTCTGTGCACAGATCAGTCTGCAACACAAAAGAAACACTAGWTACGTTTACATGGACAWAMGTAATCGGATTAAACRGCCGTTCRGAATAAAAATGYGTCATGTAAACAGCCCGTTTGGATTATTCTGATCCGATTGAKCTCGATCCGAAWGAATTTTTAATCTGAATGAAAAGGGTGGGTTATGCCGATTGATAATCAGAATGAGGTTCATGTAAACACTTAATCWGATCATCTTATTCTGATTGTAGAAAACTGACCTGTGTTCACGTCTTCTGACTTTATCCACCCGGTTCTGTTCTTTAGAGGAGGTGGGACAGCAGCGCTCCAGCTGCGCTGCGCCGCGCAGAACTTCTCCTCCTCGCTCTCAGATAAAAAAGGAGACAAACAGCAGACGTTGCTTCGCAAAAAATAAAACAAAAAACACGTATTGCTTCATCTGCAGCTCARCCGAGGAGTAACRACGTCTCTACCGTTGTTAAAAAGCTGACACGGGTCCGTCCTTTTGAAGTAGAGCTGAAAGTTTACAACACTGCAAATGTCCGGACTTTTATTCTGAATAAAGGTGCATGTAAACACTTGTCATGACCGGATTGTGTCCATGTAAACARTACATTCGGTTTATTTAATCCAAATACATTTCAATCCGATCAAAAAGTTTTGTGCTTGTAAATATARCTATTAAGGTGAAAGAGACCTGGTCAAACACTAACACTAGACTGAGGATAGGAGTAGTGCAGGATCTCTAAAAGAGTCRTAGCTCTGGTGTTTGACAGCATGTGTGAGTTCTGCAGGGGAATCGTGTGAAACCTGCAGACAGGATCATTGAGCAGATAAAGTCACCAGAATGWATAAGCTCCAGGAAACAGGTGCTCCACGGTGCTCATCAGTCACATGTAGCCACTGCTTTAATGAAGATCCATTTCAAAGGCCCAGGATGCTGATCTAATGTGTCAAGATACCTTTGGTTTATTTTTTTTAGTTCATAAAAAGAAAAACCTTAGAGGTTCTTGGCACCAGTTTTCTTTCAACTTAGCTGTTCCWTTTTATTTAACACATCTTTTGCCGTTAAACGTGGATTCTGAAGATTACAAGCATTCAGCTGCTTGTTAAAATAAAACTATAGATTTTTTATTTTTGGTTTTGAATGGCTTATAGGGAGAGGCAATTAAAGAAAACAAGCATAAGCAAATGTRGAGACTGAAGCTCTGACTTTTTCTTTTTACAGCCTGAGTCATTTTCAGCTTATTAACTTATTCCCACAAAGCAGAAATGATTAAGCTTCAAATATGCCCTTTCTCAGGCTTTCCAGGCTCTAAGAATAACCTGGTTAATTAACTCCACACCCGCTCAGGGAACATAATAATTTGTATTTTAGAATTTGAACATTTTTGAAAGCAGTTTGTGTGTTACTTCCTAAATTAGCATTAAAGCTAATAAAAACTGAAAACACCTTTTGAAAACGTTACAAGCCAAGTATAGAAAAGAAACRTCACTTATTAAAGCATGATTCAGATGTTTTGATCTTTGTTTTGTAGTTGAGGAGAGGATGCAGTAAAGTTTTTACTACCTTACATTAATCTGATCCTCACAGAAGACTGAAGGGAGGTTCATTTAGATCAGACATAGCAGTGTTCTAACATTCATCACTCGCTCAGCCAGAATAAATTTTAGATTCGATGACTTTGGCAGTCCACTTTTATTTATGAGAGACTTTCSTGACATGTCGCTGCAGAGCGTGACTAAGCAAAATGCATCTGAGCTTTGATTCTGTTCTTTTGGCGTCTCATCCAACATCTGGTTGAGTTTGGTTAAATGTAGAGCTGTACCAAATGATTATTTTCTAATCAATTAATCTAACGATTATTTTTTCGATTAATTGATTATTCTAACAAAAATCTATAAGTTATTCTGATGTGAGTGCACTGGAAATTTAAAATGTTTTCAT